TTACAACGTGCTCTGAATGGGAGCTTGGCAGGGGGACATGCAAGGTGAGACTATTTGGACACAAGTAGTGATGCCAGACTCATTTCCACTACTCCCACCAAAATCACGGTATTAAGATACAGACTGTTAGGATATGCAAACTGAGTAGGTGGGAAAACCATCCACATTTGGGGAGGAAAGCTCTGATGTAACAACAACAACAACAAAAAAACCAACCTCCAGAGTAGCGACTAGAAAGTATATGCAAAGTTGCTCAATAATTTTCAGGAGGCTTTTTGATAGGAACAATTTTTATTGTTCTCATAAGTACAACAAACTCGGGTGATTTTAGAAGGGATTTGCTAGGTGTCTTGAGTGCGTCTTTCATCAAGATATTAATGGTGATAAAACAAAGTGATGTATAGGATCTCCTGTGAATTCCTCCACAAATAGAGCAGCTTTTCTTTTAAAAGCACAATCCTAGCTGTGAAATGATGAATATTAATAGAAGTTTTCTTCCTATAGAAGAGAACAGTGGCTGAGGACTCACAAAGAAACCGAGAGAATGGAAGCTTCATGACAGGCCGACTGTGCAAGTGCGTCAGAGGAGTTAAAGCCTGAAAGCGGGAGGTGGCCGGGCGCCCGTTGGACCCGGGTCCGCACAGGAGCAGCGTGAGGAAACGTCCCGAGATAGGTACTCGCCGGGAAGTGAGAAATGAGACAGTTCTCAGTTGTGACATTCACTTGAATTTTGTGTTTCTTCCGTTTCCGAGAAATTCGGAAGGCACTGAACCACTGTTTCCCCAACTTGGTATCTTAGAACCACAATTTTCTAAAATGCTCTCAGGGGGAAAATGACCCACTCTCCAGGGGACCCACTAGCATTTAAAGGCCCCAAAAGTTCCCAAAGCAAGTAAAAATGATCGTTTTTTTCCAATCCTGTTTGACCATGGGACCCAATTACACATGACACCCGCTAACATCTTCCAAAGACCCCTTTCTACCGAAGTTTCTCCTAGAAAATTAGACTAGACTATTATAAATAATAGGTTTTGAGATGAGCTATCTTTGAAAAATTGTCTGGTAAATACATCATGACATCCATTTCTTCTTCCATGTAAGGGGGGGTTGAGCCCGCTTTCCTTGAAGCCTCTTTAAATACAAACTTGTAGAACTCCAAAGTGCCCAAGAGCAGATTTGGCATTCACATCCCTATTTAATTTCTAGACATACCTGAACTGGGCCAATCAAACGCTTACAGAGGTCCACTGCTTAGATAAAATGAATGTAACCCTCCTAATATATTCTTAATTACATATATATTTTTGATGGATAAATATATCCTGAGTGGATTCTCTACTTAGGGGACTTTTTAATTGACCCTTATAGTCCCTTGGTCCCTTTGAGTGTGGCTAACTATACTAAAAAGCTAGATTTAAATAAATTTTTCATGTAATTCATTCTCTTTCTCTTTTTCGTTAGTATGGGTAATCAAGCATTCATGGCATTACGGATTTTTGAATGTCAGAGATTGTAAAGCTACCTTGCCTATTATAGTAAAAACTTTATTAGGGGCTATCCTGTATTCAAAGTAGTGTGTAATTCAAAGCAGCTGCACACCCAGCTCCCTTTCTGCAGATGCACGGTTGTCCTTTGAATGAAAACATTAGATAACCTGGGTACTCATTAATTTCAAGCCTAGTTTCTGGGTGCCAGAGATTTTAAGGTAACTGTGTCTTAATAAAGTCATCATAGTCCCTTACCATTAAACGCATCAAAAATAATGTTCGCTCACTGACCCGTGTACCTTACAGGACGCTCACTCTGCTCTCACCTCTATCTTTTCCAAAGCCTTATATGTTCTCCTTGCCCTTCAGAAACACATCAAATGGTAATTTTCATTTTTAAAGAGTTTTGGTCACCTTAGGAAACACTGCCCCTTCCTCATTGAATGACAAGATTCACTTTACGGTCCCAATTACCTCAATTTTCTTTTATCTATGAAGTCTGTGTGATTTTCTTAAAGTGACAAATATTCACCAAAATATAATCTTTGTGTAGTTACATGTCATAAATTAAAATAAGGATACTTTCCTATTAAGAACACATGTGCTTTAATCACTCTTCCTGAAGAAGTTAAATTTATGAGTAGGACAAATAAGAGTGAGTATGGGAGTGGTGAGAAACTAACGAGCACAAAGTCTGCATCCTCAAAGATCAAGCCAGGAGGAGAGCTGATGTAAAATACTCTTCTGTTATTACAGAGTAGCCCAGGACACCTTAAACTAAGATAAGAATAAAATCTAATTTCATATACCTCTTATCTTCCTTCAAGACGGTATAGTTTTATAGAGCTAAACTTCTCTGTCATCGACAGTTCTGTAAACTACCTTTACGAAGGGAAAGAGAAAACCCATCTTTCTGTAAGCCCTCACACATCACAGAAAGACTGAGGAGTGTTCCAAACCTCGGGTTTTGGCACAGCCTCGGCATAGCATGGAGGGAGGAGAAAGGAGTTAGCAGGAAGTGTACTTAGGATCGATGCCACCCACCATCAAGTAATGGTTTAAGTAGAAAGTAATCAGAGGGATACCACAGCAGCTAAATTTCAACCAAAGATATTCTAGGTTTAGAACAATAAATAATTGTAATCAGGTATGTTCCAAGGAGCAAACAGGGCTCGAAGGCTGTAAGTCAGCCTGGATAAGCACGTGGAAAGTCTGCCCCATCAGCAGCCACCCCACATGCCCAGCGGACCACCTGACCCTCCACTAACATTCGTAAGGTCGCTGCTGCAGAGAAATCCATACGCTGTGAAACCTAAACACCACGGACTAGAAAACACATCTGATTTATTAGAGCAGACAGCATCTTTCACCCACATCGGAACACATGTCACAAGACAAAGAGTGTTATGGAAACGCTGATATGAAGGAGAGGGACACACGTGAAAGCCTTAGCACCTTCCTGAAGTCGTGCCTTCCTGGAGCCAGGACGGCCTTATAATAAGGGCTTTTGAGTGTGCCAGTAACCAAACACGCTTGGAAAGGGTCCAACACGAACCACCTCTCCAGGAGTCTCCATCCAATGCAGTAACACGACACTTCAGCTTCCACAAAAACCAGTGTCTACGTTTGATGAATAAGTCATTAAGACCGTCTCTGGGATGCGAAAGGAATTACTTTTCTTATCAGGGCACACAGCCTTGTATATACGCATCAGGCTGCAATCCGTCATTTTCAGGGAACTTCTGGCCTCCCTATCAGAGCTTGTTATTTGTGGGTGTAAGACCTGTGAGGCTGATAAAGGGCACTAGAAATTATAATGCACAGAATGAGCTGAAGCCCCAAAGAACACGGGCCTGCCTTATTCAAACCCTTACCCGTCTCCCACGCACATTGCACTCAGCCTAAGACAGACGGACAAACAACCAGGCAATAGGTGTGAGTGAAAAAACACATTCCACCTCCCAACCTTGTGATTCGGACTAAAAATGAAACTTGTTGATACAAAAAGTACTACTCATCTCTTGGGTGCTTTAGCTACTCCCTGGTAATGTCACCGAAAAATGACGTCAGGATAAGAGCGATCTGAGCACATCTTCATGACGGCCACCTGCCTTACCAGCCCACGTCCTCCCCATCCCTGCGGCTCCCACACTGCTCCTGCCTTGAGCTCTGCCCCCGGAGTTGTACGGAAATAAACAGCGTATGCGCTGTGTGGTCAGCGGTCAGGACAGCCTCCTGGAGGGGCTGGCCGACTGTGGAGAACTCAGAGAAGCTTTCTGTTTCCTTTGCAGAGGGCAGCCCCTTACAGATGACGCTCAAGGTTTTAGGAAGAAAGTGAAATCTGGCTCAGCTCCTCTGCGTCAGAAAGCATAACTCACATTTATTGTGAGCTTCGTCCTGCCTGGGGCTCTAGAGTGTATTCACAGGGTCAGCCTAGGGCTTTCCTTGATGGATGCTCTGGTTTTCCTTTTTTCCAGGAGTCCTACATATCAAAGCTCTGGGAGGTTTCTTTCTAGTGATTCTGACAGAACTGATAGAGCGCGGGGCAAGGCCTCCTTCCTTGAAGATTCTTGGCTATTTTTCAACGGTTCGCTGGAGGCTTTGCAGTTACATTTCCCTGTGCCATGACTGCAGGGAGCAGAAAAAGCCTGACGCGTCCTCAAAGCATATAAACCGAGTCAGTGTCCAGGAAACTTTCCCTCAAGCTGTTGGCACAAGGGAGGCAGGCTGATCGCTTAAGTTACTGGCTTCCCCACAGGGGACGGGAGGAACCTTGTTAAGCCATGAACTTCGGCCCGCAGTGATCTGTGTTGAAACCGGGATGAGCAGATTTTCCCGGCAGGTTCCAGGAGGTGCCGGCGTCCACCGCCGCCCGTTCCCGCGTTCCTCCAGGGGGGCATAGGTGCAGCCCCCGTCTGCCCGGATGGGTTTAAGGAATCGGAAACCGACCACCTGGGTTAGTTTGTGTGTTTGTCACCAAGGGACTGTGAGAGGGAAAGTGTCCAATACAGGAACACGGGGGACGCGAGTCAAGAGGGCGCACGGTCTGGAGAAGCGACTGTCTAGAAGGCGAGGGGAAGGCGTCTCGTTCGAGGGTGACTTTTCCCTCTGGTGCCTTGGGGTTGGCATGGAATGACATCTGCCTTCGGGACAACCTGGCTCCGGCCCAGCGCCGGAACAGCCGCACGAGGCGCTCTGGGGCGCACAGACCCCAGCGCAGGAGAGCTCTGCGGGGCGTGGGGTAGCCCCTGCCCCTCCCCGGGCCGTCCCTCCAGCCCACCGCGACCTCCTTGGTGGCTCTGCAGATCCCCTCTCAGTCCGGGCTCTAAATGGGGGGGCTCCTCGCTGGCCGGACGCGGGTACTTAGGGACGGAGGGGGGCTCGGTGGGCTAGTGCGGAGGCTGAGGAGCGGCTCCGGGTGGCATCAGAGAGCGGAGGGCAGGCGAGGAAGCTGGGGGGTGTCCCCGAGAAATCCGGGCGGGACCGCGGAAAGGGGGGGCGCGGGGCACTCACCGGCTGCTCCGGCTCGGAAGCTGCGCACCGTGTTGCCTTCGCGCAGGGGCCGGGGGCGCGGGGGCCGCGAGCCCCGCTCCGAGGACCCGGGGGTGCGCTCCGCCTCGGCCGTGCCGCCGCCGCTGTACCGGTCGTAGAGTCGCAGCATGTGCACGGACACCCGGTCGTGCGGCCGCAGCGCGGGGCCCGGGCCGGCACCTGCCGCGCGGTCGCTGGTCGCAGCGCCGCGGGGCTCCGGGACGCTCTGCCTCAGCCGGTCCCCGCGCGCCAGGCCGGCGCAGAAGCAGCCGAGCCACAGGCAGAGCAGCCCGCGCGCCCCGGCCATGGCGAGCTCCGGCCGCCGCGCGTCTTCTCCGCGCGTGGCGGGGGCTGGGGGCGCTCCGAGCCACGAGCGCCCGCGACGGCGGAGGCTGGGACTCAGGTGAGCCGGGCCGGGGGCGCCGGGAGCCCCTCGCACTGCCCGAGCCGTTCGCCGCGAGCCGCACTTCGGGCGCCGACCAACTGCGGCCCGGCAGGTGGCTCCCCGGCCGCGCCGACCTCACCGGGACGCGGGCGAGACCTCGGCGCGGGCGCCTTCGGGTCTGTCCTGTCCTCCCTGCCCGTCTGGTGCGGAGCGCCCGGCCGAAGCGCCGCGCAGCGGGGAGGCGGCCGCACGGGGCGGGGGCCGGAGCGGGGGCCGGAGCGGGGCGGGGGCCGGAGCGGGGCGGGGGCCGGAGCGGGGCGGGGGCGCCCGCCTGCCTCTTCCAGGGACTGGAGCAGCTGGTGCCGCGGCCCGAGTTTTGAGTGTGTGTGTGCGCGTGTGCGTGCGCGTGTGCGCGCGTGGAGAGACGCGAGCCGCCTCCTGCTCCGTGCGCGCTGGCCTCGCCCTGTCCCTCGCCGGCAGCGCGGGCCCTGCTACGAGCGGAGGCGCAGGACGGGGAAGCCACAGCAGACCAGCAGGGGGAGAGAGAGGAGAGGAAGTAGGGGTGGGTGCGGGGGAGAGGAGGGGAAGGGAGACCGAGGAGGCGGGGCAGCGGGGACCGGGCGCTTCTCCGGACCCCGTGGAGAGCGCGCTCGTGTCCCGGCCTCCGAGGGGCGGAGGGGGACGCGCGTCCGCCCCGCTCCTTCCTCCCCGGACGCGGCCGAACCGACGTGGGCACCGGCCTCGCCCCGCGCGCGGCCCCGATGGACGTGGAGGAGCCGCACCTGCGCGGGCCGCCCCGGTCCCCCCGGGCTCAGCCCGCAGCGCTCGCCTCCCGCAGGACGAATACACGTGCGAGTCCGTCTTTCGTGAGAAAAGTGAACGCGCGACCCCGCCGCTTCCCTCCCCGCAGGGGTTTCTCCGCGGGCTGGGGGTGACCCCGCGAAAGCCGGGGGTCCCGAGCAAGCTTTCGGGTCGCGGATTCTGAGACCTTCACTCGTTCTCCTACGTTTGGCTGCAAAATGGAGGTTTAACTACCAGTGAACGTTTTACCCCGCGCTTCTCGCGCCCTAAGCACGCGTTGTGCACGATACGCCGCGCGCATTTTTTTAAGCAACCTCTACCCCCCAAGGTGGGGCTCGAACCGACAGCTCCGAGAGCAAGCGCGGCCTTAACCAACCCAGCCAGCCGCGTGCCCTTCACTCTCTTTAAAGAATTTTCCCAGGGAAGCCCATTCTACAGACGAGGAAACAGGAAAAAGACACTCCCAGCTCAGGGAGTGTGACTCCTGGCCCTTACCACAGAATTAATAATGCAATTAGCATTTAAACTGACTTTCAGGGCACCTGGGTGGCTCAGTGGGTTAAAGCCTCTGCCTTCGGCTCAGGTCATGATCCCAGGGTTCTGGGATCGAGCCCCGCATCGGGCTCTCTGCTCCGTGGGGAGCCTGCTTCCTCCTCTCTCTCTGCCTGCCTCTCCGCCTACTTGTGATCTCTGTCTGTCAAATAAATAAATAAAATCTTTAAAAAAATAAATAAACTGACTTTCAATGTGACAATTATGTAAATGTTCTTAGCCCGGAGCCTAGCCTGGTGGTAAAGCCCTTAGTGACCCTCTGTTCCAGCGAGCTGTCCCCTCTGTGGGAGCAGAGTGGGGCTAATTGAAAGGAAGATAGACTCCCCGGTCACCTTGGGCTTCCACATCCCACGTTTTTCTTTGAAGGAGAATAAGGACGCGTCTGAGAGTTTTGTTTGGTTGAGACTGGAAACCAGTGCTGAAATGACTGGCTCCCCGACTAGCCTTTACTAGGGACTCAGTCCCCTTTTATCTCAAATTTATCCCAAAGGCAGACTACATTCTCCCCACTCTGTCACTTCCCAACCCCTTGCGGTTTGGATTTTGCCCCTAGCCACCCCCAGAACGGTTCTGCAGATAATAACCCGTACTTCAAAGATGGTGGTGAGAATTCAACGGGTTCATGTGTATGATCTTCGCTTGGCATAAAGAACGTAATAGCTTTTGTGATTAATAATGAAGACCCAATTGCAAAATTCAAGAGGCCCTGGAAACTCTCTCCCTCTGATTTTTCCCCGTGACTCTTCGGTTCTTTCCCTCTCCTTTCTGCTTTGTTTCGGCTCTGGGAGCTGCCTCCTCTTCCCAGGCTGCCTCCAATGGTCCTCACATCTTTATACTCAGTCCCAGAAGATGCCAAATTGAGAAGAAAAATCTTCCGCTTTGGTGGTCACCTCTGACCTTTAAATTTATATTGTCCTGGGTTTCTACCAGCACCCTCCCCCCGCTGCAATGCCAAAATCTCTCCTTTCTCGCCTGTGTCACCATCCCTGAGACTTCTCTTCCTTGAGCTCTCGTGTGTATCTGTGGCAACCTTTGCAACGCCACGTTCGATGTGGTTCTCCATGGGAGGGGCTGTGCTGTGGGTGCTGGGGTTGGCTGCGTGTTTTCAATGCCTACCTTCACTTCTTAGATGCATATACTCACCCTTCTCCTGCTTTTTAAAAAATATTTATTGATTTGAGAGAGAGAGAAAAAAAAAAGAGTGCAGGTGAGCAGGTGGGAGGGGCAGGAGAGGAGAGAGAATCCTGAAGCAGACTCTCCATTGAGCACGGGGGAGGGCTCAGGACTCAAACCCCCAACCCCGAGACCATGATCTGAGCCGAAAGCAAGAGGCAGACACTTAGCCAATTGAGTCACCCAGACGCCCTGTGTGCTTTCCCTTTCTTGTGCTTCTATTTTCTTATTTGAGCTGTAAGTACAGAATAATGGTTCCTGTCTCACAAGGTCCTTGTAGAGAATCACTGGGCAGTCCGTGGCAGGAGACGAGGACAGCCCCTACCACAGAGCAAACGCTTAACAGGAGTCGGCCGTGAGCTGAGATAATTGCTTGTGCGTTTTTGTGTAAAGTCGAGGAAAAGCCATACCCACCTTTACATTTCAGGGCCCAGCCAGCACCTTCAGAATAAACAAGGTCACTAGGAGATGATAAGCAGGTAGAATGATCCCTCGCGGGGGCCTGCGGCTGTAAGGGCAAGTTTGGAAAACAAAGTGTGGGTGACCGCCAGCGAACTGAGGAACACTGGTGGCAACCAAATGCTGGACCAAAGAAAGCCTCATTGGCAGTTGGCCTGCACCCGAGAAGCTGGAGCAAGGGATGAGACAGAGGAAGCCAGCAGTAGCCTGTCCGGCCGTGACAAACTCTCGGGAACCATGCCAGACCCGCTGAGCGATCTGCTGGGAAACTGAGAGCAAACTAAGGTGGAATTCATCGTTCTCTCATCAGCACATCCGGAGACGCCATCTTGTGACACTTGAAGGCCGTGTTTCTTTAACCAAAGTCCGCAGAAGCTTGGATCTGGATGGACGAACTAGTCTCTGAAGGCCGGCATCTTCAGATGCATTCCTGCCCCCTCAAAGAGTAAATCAGAGGACTCATAATTCCAGCCGAGCGACTGGCTTATTGGACATGCGGAAGATGTAGAACGAGCCAGAAAGGAGAACTTCAGAATTGAATAGAATGGTGGTACACGTGCCTGCTTCTGATTTCTTCTTGAGTCTCGTTAATTTGTTTGCCTTATATTTTAATAACAGGAATTTCCCATGTTATGCTAGAGAATAAGGGTTACCACTCCAACCCATCAGTGAATCAGAGGATACTTATCAGTCTCTTTTCCTAAAAAGAAGGAGAATTAAAGAAAGACATTTTTGTAAAGCAAACACTAGTTTGACCTTCAATGGGTTCTGTTGAGTTGGGCTCTACTTTGACCACAACATCCTGTGTGTTTAACGTGTGTTCTGTGTGTCTTTGTTAGTTCCCTTAAACACTATACACCTTCATATCCCAAAAACTCCATCAAATTATAGAGTACGTATGTAAGGCCACATTAGTGGCTGTGGGCAGAATATGTGAGAAGAATGTGTCTTAGGCTTGGAGGAGTTTACCTTCTAGTGGTTGAGCCAAAGAAACCCGCACGGGACAAGGGGAGAAGGATCAGTTCGGTGTTCAACCGTGCGTTGTAGAACGGGTCACAAGCTGCTGGGGCAGCTGCAGGAGGAGATCAGCAGGAGATAGGATAGCCAGGGAAGGTTTCCTGGAATAGGTGGGGCTTTATTTAACCTTGAAAAGTGGGTGACATTTTAGAGTCAAACATAAAGGACTTGCAATTTAGGAAAGAGGAGCGGTGAGAGAGAAGGCGTGGGAGTGAGCATGAGCTTGTCCTGTTACTGAGGCCGCGTCGCCTGGGACAAAAGCTGACCTGACTGTACAGAGTCTGTATGCTGGAGAGCACAGGGGAAAAGAGACGGGATGCGGGGCGGAATGAGTTTATGCAGAACCTGGATCAGGGGAAAGGAGGCAACCGTAGAAAGTTTTTGAGAAGAGAAGGCTTTCTAATGGTCAAAATTCTCCAAAATGGTCTGGACAGTTTTACTAACTCATAGGTGTCCTGCCCCTGGAAGTAGATACACATAAGGTCGATGACAACTTAAAGATAGTTTAGGCCTGATTCAAATATCGTCAGGCTGACTGAAGATATTTAACGCCTTTTTAGTTGCAAAGTTATTTGGGGGCAATAAAATTCGTATCTATATACAAAGTCTGTATCCGTATCAATGTATCTATCTGTGTGTGTCTGATTCACAGAGGCTTAAACACTTAGGGGTTCATTTTTCTTCCTGTTACAGAAAGTCTGCCGTTAAGGAGCTGTTGGTATCTGCTCAGTGGCTTGACGAATGTCATTACCAGTGTTTATGGGACTCACTTATTTTCCTTTCTTGCTGCCGGATGCCTCTTGCAACTTCAGCCATCAAGTGCTTTCTCAAGGGAGAAAGGAGAGAGAAGGGAAGCCCTGGCTGTATCTCTTTCTTTTCATCGGGAAAAGCAAAAGCTCTCTGAGCCCTGGCAGGTATCT